CTTCCCGCCTCCCGCTTCCCGCGGCTGCGGCCGCCCGCGCCCTGACGGCCACGGCATGCGTATTCCCGTAGACCCGAGCACCAGCCGCCGCTTCACTCCCCCCTCCACGGCCTTCCCCTGCGGCGGCGGCGGCGGCGGCAAGATGGGCGACAACAGCGGCGCTCTGAGCGCGCAGGCGGCGGGCCCCGGCGGCCGCGCCCGGCCCGAGGTACGCTCGATGGTGGACGTGCTGGCGGACCACGCGGGAGAGCTCGTGCGCACCGACAGCCCCAACTTCCTCTGCTCGGTGCTACCCTCGCATTGGCGCTGCAACAAGACGCTACCGGTCGCCTTCAAGGTGAGTGTGGGGCCTCTGGCCGGACGACACCGGTGGGAGAGAGGATGGCTCCAGGGTCCCAGCTGCAGGATCCCCGGGCTGGAGGACGTGGAGGGGCTCAGGGAGTCTCGGCTGCAGGAACCCCAGACCCGGGAGGACAGGGGAGCCTTCGGGTGTCACGGCAGCAGGACCCCCGAGCCAAAGGACACCGGGTGCTCCGTGGTTCCGGCTGCTGGATCCCCGGGTTGGAGAACATGAGGGGTTCCGAGAGTCCGGGCTGCAAGAATCCCAGACCCGGGAGGATACGGGAGCCTTCGGGTGTCACGGCAGCAGGACCCCCGGGCAGTAGGACGCATGATGTTCCGGGGTCCCTGCTGCAGGATCCCGGGCTGGAGGAAATAGGGGGTCCAGAAGTCGCGGCTGCAGGAACCCCAGTGCGGCAGCGCCCCCCCCCCGTCCGAAGGACACGGGGTACTCTGGCGCCCTGCAGCAGGAACCTAGGGCCGGGGAGAGCAGGGAAGACACCTAAGCGCAGCGGCCTCAGTGCGCTCAGGACACAGAGGACTAGGACGCTCCCTCTCGGGTGCACCAATTGCTTGGAGGAGCTCTACTTCTCTCCCCCGGCCTTCCCGGACCCTGCGTGGAGACAGTCATGTAGAAATCTGAGGATCAGGCTTCCAGATCCCTCCGGCATACCCTAACCGGCCACCGGGAAAAGGATCTCTCCAGCAGCGAGAGGGCCCCCGGAGGTGTCTGGTGTGGAGGGTGAAAAGGGCCTGGCCTCCCCCGGCGTTGCTGCGCCTCCTGCGCCGCAGCAGAAACACTTCCTGCCCACATTCTGGCGTCTGAAATTTTGCACCGGGCGACCCTAGGCCGGTATGCCGGGCACCGCACCCTAAAGTGCCGTCTCCCGCATAACTCTGCACGCCAATTGACAGGCTGAGATTGAAGGGTGCCTCCATCCTTGGTATCCCCCGGTCATCCAGAGATTTTTTTTTTTTTTCAACTATGCCAGGGAGTAGGCAATTGTTTCATTTTCTTTCTTAATTTTTTTTAAAGGGGGGCAGTCAGATGAAACGAAAACGCCTTGGTTTTCCCCTAAACCTCTCGCAGCTGCCGCGAGAAAAGGGCAGGGCAGGAAGGGCCGGTGGCTGGGGAGGTTGTGGTGCCCGAGGTGCCTGGAAACGCTGGCTTCTTGCAGCTGAGACCCTCCTTGCTCCCATTAAGAAGACTTCACTTTGGAAAGAGAGAGAAGTGGGGGGGAACACTAGTGGTCTTTGAGATCTCTCGGGTGACATCTTAAAATACCAGCGGGAGAAATCTCTCCGGGAGGAGGGGAGGAGGCCCCGTGTGACTATAATCGTCAGATCGGAGGTTTTACTGTCACTTGGAGCTTAAAAGGAATCTTTGAAATTAAAAGAAGACAGGATGTTGACAGGAAATCTGGCCTTTTTAATCAGACCCCAAACATTTTCTCCTTGAAATTTTTACCATCTGGATTCCCAGTGCCTGCACGCGGCAGCCACGTTTAAATGGCTGTGACTCTGTTTAAAGTCTGGTTCCTTTACAAAAGGCATCTCTGCCTTTTGGTGCTCCTTGGGTGGGGGGTGGAAGAGATGATATTTAAAGGGGCATCTCCACCCACCCAGCAATTCCCAGCAGGTGCACCCTCCAGTCATGGAAACCACCCTCTCCTTTTACTGGGGTTTTCTGGATCACCTTGCAGAACAGCAGTTTGCATTTTTCTCTGCATAACGAATTCAGGCTCCACTGAGGCCAATAAACTAGTCCCGGTCCACATTGCAGGGCCAAATTTCATACCCCAAATAGCTCCTGTGTGAACTGAGAGCAAGGAGCAGGCCTGTTATGATTATTGCTGATTCTCTTTTTGATGGTGGACTCCACTGCTGAGAGCACATTGACTGTGCTGACTGACAGCCCTCGCTTAGGCTTAATTGAATAATAAAAAGGGGATGATTTCTTGGGGCCCCCGTTAATCATTTTACATAGGATGTGGGTATGAAGGTAGAGATTCCATTGCCTCCTTTTGCTCTGTTTGAGAAAGGTCTACTTTGTTTAGCCTCTTCCACTCCAGCATTTGAGAAATCCGCAGTGCGCTTGGGACCTAGGGGAGCTGGCCAGCCATGAGCCTCTCCCCCCATTCCCCCAGCTTTCTCAGGCCTTTTAAGCCGTCTTTCCTCCTGCGGTGTCCTCAGGTGGTGGCACTGGGGGATGTGCCAGACGGAACCGTGGTGACCGTGATGGCAGGCAATGATGAGAATTACTCCGCTGAGCTGCGCAATGCCTCTGCTGTCATGAAGAACCAAGTGGCCAGATTCAATGACCTTCGCTTCGTGGGCCGCAGTGGGCGAGGTGAGCAGGAGGGACACTGGGGTGGCGAAGGTGGAGGGAAGAAGCTGAGAGAGGCTTCAGGGTCCCAGAAGCAGATCTCAGGTCCAGCTCTGTGAAACAGCAGCTCAGCACCCCATAGGCGCTTCAGAGCCCTTTGATGTGATTGTTTTCTCCCTGCTTCCAGGGTTTACCAATTCCTAAAGCCTCCCTCACTGCCCTTTCTCTGTCAGCATCTCTGGTTTCTCGAAAGATGCTGGGAGAAGTCCTACCAGCACAAGCTCAAAAAGAGTGTTGGAAGTCTTTTGGCTGGGGACTTAGTAGATGGGGCCCAGGCACTCCAGCCATTCTCCCAAGGGGCAGAAAGGCCTGCAGTGCCCCCACCCCCAGGGTAGAGTTTCCCCTGCACTTTGAGCCCTAAGGTGCTTTCAAGAGATTAAAGAATGCTAGATAGGATACTGAATGCTGGGTAGTGAGGTTTAAAGGCTGCCATCTCTGCCCCAGGCTCAAGCTGGCCTCCTTGCCAGTCTGATCTACCTTTGGCAGTGGCAGGAAGACAGGATCAGACGCCACAGTGGCTACTGTCCTGGGCTGTTGAGTGGGAGGCTGCTGGGACCTGAAACCCGTCATCATGTAACTCTGGGGTAGAGGAGCTCTAGCAACCATGCCCTGGGGAGATGGGGACTTGCAGGTCTGCTGGCCCTTTAACACTAGCCTGCCGTGTAGTGACTAACTTGAAGTGGCTGAGTGGTCCCTTCAGGAGCCCCGTGGAGTTAGGAAATGAGCCTGGCTGTCACGGGCTGGGGCAAAATCGTATTTTTCAGCACCAATAAACGGTTTTCTCAAGGTTCAAGTTCCCTGGGAGCCGCCAGCCCACTCTCATCGGGCATTTGGGCACCATTTTGCCCTCTGTAGCCCTTCAGTGTATACATACAAATGTCAAACATATTTTGACTTTTCACCATTAATTAAAACCAGGGCATTATTTGCATGTAATAACTGTTTACTTGTTACTTTTTGTGAAACTGAAATAGTTTACATTCTTTCAAACATTTCCTGTTCCTGTTGGCTCCCTTCCTCGCTCACAGATTTCTTTCAAACGTTGCCCTTAACTGGTTGCAGGTTGATGGATGGAAAATGTTTGCTTTTATGAATTAAGCGTTCATTTGCTGCTCCTAATTAGTCTCCAAGCCCCGTTCGTTCGTCATCCCCAATCTCCGAGCCCTTTGCAACTTAATCCCAGCCCTGGCCTTGGGTGGGGGGTCACTGGTGCAGGTTGGTTGCAGGCAGGTGAGACTGGTCCAGGTTGGAGGGGGGCATTACAGTTTCTGCCCCTACAGAGGGTAGAACGTGAGGTGGATTGAGGGAAATTGTTCCCTTCTCTTTCCACCCTGTTTCCTCTCCGGGAAGGGGACAGGAAGAGAGAAGAAGTCTTGATTCTCTGTCTACACATTTAGAATTAGTCTTACTTTACTTACTTTGAGACAGTTTCACTGTGTAACTTAGACCAGCCTGGAACTTGTTATGTAGCCGAGGTTAACTTCTGATTTTCAGTCCTTCTGCCTCAGCCTCTGGAATGTCAGGACTGTAGGCATGTGCTACCACACCCAGCCCACAAATGATTTCTTAGTGACTTTCACTCCCCTCGAACCCAAGCCCATGTCCTGAAGGCCCACCAGGAGGGAGCCAGGCTTCCAAAATGTCACCGGTAACTATACATCCTTACAGCTTTTGAGGCTGAGGCTGGGGTGGTGGCTCCTCTGGAGGTGATTTATAAACGGTTCTCACATCCAAACTCCCACCAGCCTCAGTGATTGTAGGAGGCAGGAGGAAGCCCAAGTAGGCATTCCCATGTTCGTGGAACTCTGGACCAAGTACTCAGGACTTAGAGACTCTTGGTCTTCCAGTGTGAGCTCTAGAGCAACTCACCAGAGTCTGAGTCCTAGCCCAGCTAGGGACTTATTTGATGACATCAGGCAACTGGCTTAACCTCTCTGTGCCTCAGTTTCCTCATCTGTGAAATGGGGATGATAATGGTACCACTTTATGAGATTTGTGGTGAATTAAGGAAATTGATGCAAGTTCTCACATATCGAGAGCTGGGTACAAGGTAGGATTTTGTACTTGAAATGCTTGGTACCCAAGGAGCCTTTGAGGTCCCTTTGAGTGGTGACAGTCACTGATTCTCTGATTGCAGTGTGGTTTGGGCGGGGGTGGGGGAAACCCAGAAGGTGTGAGTTGTTGAGTGGGAGAGGTAGAGGTGCTAGAGTGAGGAAGGTGGGTGCAGGGGTCTAGGGTGCTTGTTGGCTGCACCTCTGCTGTGCCAGTCTCTGCAATTGGGAAATTCCCTCCTGAGGACACACCTGTGATTGACAGAGAACCTGGGCCAATTTAGGTGAGGACAGGGTGAGGTTTAGAACCCCAGATCCAAGAAAACGAAAAAGGAAGTCGAACCCAAGATTCTTCCCTGGTTCTTTAATGCCTGCCAGGACTAAGAATCCAGGGAGAAATTTCTGTGTATTTGATATTTTTACACCTTGCTTCTGTCTAAATTCCAGAAAGATCACATTCCCCAAAAGCCATGCACATCTCCCCAGAGCTCCCATGATAAGGTTACAGATGTGAACCAAGGACAAGAAAGGAAAGCCAGCCTGCCATGTGCCCCTGCCAGCCACACTCCCCGTTCCTGCAGTAGCCACCTGAGTCCCCAAATCTGTGTCAGCCCCTAGCTGTAAATGGTAAGAAAAGGAAAGTCATTCATGACAGATACAGATTTGAATATGCACATGTCAGGAGAGACTGCACCTCTCCAAGGTGGGCAGTGCCTTCTGTGTAGAAGACCCTGGATGCTGAGCTTACAGGACTCAAAGAGCAAATGAGGCCAAGCTGTCCGTGTCAGAATTTGCTGAAGATGTGTAAATACTCAGTAATGTAGTGAACAGGGTTTGATTGGTTTTTTTGTTTTGCTTTTTTGTGGTGCTAGATAGCCTGGACTTCATTTGTACTAGGCAAGTGGTCTACCACTAATCTATATCCCCAGACCCCCAAATGGAAATAAAACAAAACCCCACCTTTCCTTTTGAAAAATTAAATAGCTATTAAAAGAGAAATAAATGTTTTAATTTAGATAAGACTGAGTTAAGTTTGTGGCTCAGTTTGTTTGTTTTGATTTGTTTTCTGTTTTGTTTTTTTGGTCTTTTTGAGACAGGGTCTCCCTGTAGCCCCAGCTGGCCTGGAACTCACTATGTAGACCAGGCTGACCTCAAGCTCACAGAGATCCACCTGCCTCTGCCTCCTGAGTTCTGGGATTAAAGGTGTGCCACCACACCTGCCTATACAGCTCAGTTTGTTTTTTGTTTTTATAAACTTTTTAAAAATTTTATTTATTATTTTTATTTTATGTGTATGTGTGTATTGCCTGCATGTAGGTAAGTGCACCCGTGTCGTGCAATGCCTGTGGAGGTCAGAAGAGGCTGTCAGATCCCCTGGGACTGGAGTTACAGACAGTTGTTTGTTGTCATGTGGGTGCTGGGATTCGAACCCAGGTCCTCTGCAAGAACAACCAGTGTTCTTGACCACTGAGCCATCTCTCCAGCCCCGGCTCAGTTTTTTTAAGCAAGTTTCCCCCTCCTTGGAAAAATTGTTTCTGGCCCTACGCAGTACTGAGCCTGTGCACCCACACACTTTCACCCATCCACACCTGCACACACTCACATGTGCATACATCTACCTCTAAGTACCATTTCCCACCCCCAACCCTTCACTGACCAGCTACCACTACACATCCCCAGATTATGCTCTAGGAAGTAGCCACTGACCTAGGCATGGGTGAGCTGCTTAGGCACCTGGACTGTCATTAATTGGTTAAGAAGGGGCAGAGGCCTGTAGAGAAAGACTTGAGAGCTATAGGTGCTTTCGGGGCCACTAGAGGGAGAGGGAGATAGATGGTGTTTTGCCTAGGCTGAGAAAGGTTGTGGAACAGAGGTACTGGCAATACTAGGCAGCTCCATGCTGCCTGGCCCACCTGAGCTCTCTGACTTGTTATGGCCCTAGAGAACATCTGTTTCACACACTTGAACAGGACATTCGTCCCGACCCCAGCCAGGGCCAGCCTTTGAAGATCCTTGATTGCAACCCCGAGCCTGGCCCTTGCATAGCTGCTGGGCTTCTGTGGGGCCACACACCTCCTGCACCTTCTCAACTTCCTGCTCCGAAAGAAAGATGAGAGAGACAGAGAGAGACAGAGAGAAGACTTGGGCACAGCCAGGGGGAAATGGGGGCAGTGGGAGCAGCTTTTCCCACCTGTGGTTCTCAGGGTCCCTGCCCCTCTCCTCCTGCTCCTAGGCCCCAACTCCACTGTCCTCCTGACTTTCCTCTCTGTGGATAGCTGGGGAGGGAGGAAGCTGTTGAGGTATGCTAGTGACCTCAGGGGTGGCCTGTGGTTTGTTCCCCAGAGGGTGGGGGAGAGAAAGGGGAGTGGTTGCTCCTTCCATAGGAACAGGTCTCTAGTTGTGGAGAGCTGGGAGAGCTGTAGCAGGTTCCAGCCTGTCTGGGTCCTGCTTGGATCCTGTGTAAGCTGTCAACCACGGCCCCTCTGTGAACCTCAGCCTTCTTATCTGGAAAATGGTATCATATTTAAAGTGGGTTTATTTGGTATCTACCATGTACCAGATACCATCCTGGGAGCTGGGGACACAGGGAATGAGGCAGAACTTCAGTCCAGGAGAGGGAGAGAAAATCAGTCAGTAGGATTCCAAAGTGAACTATATAAGGAACTTCATGCAGGTTCTAGGGTGGAAGGCCTAGGGGTGTAGGAAAAAAACACCCAGGGATGGCAGTAGCAAAAAGCTGCCTTCAGACTGCAGAGTGCATGGGGATCATCCAGGTGCACTGATGCTCTGTGGAATGGATTCAGTAGCAAGCTCTAGCCGCGGGTCTGATGACGACCATAGTGTTGACTCTAGGATGAGCATCAAGGATCTTCAGAGCAACCTGCAAGGGCTGTAACATGATCTGTAAATGTCTGTGCAGCCTGTTGATGTGACAAGGTCACAGGTACTGTCGGTAACACCTCTGTGGCTTGTGGCCTGCACTCTAGCTTGAGAGAAGCTGTTCTAGTTAAAGGTTGGGGACAATACTCTTGCAATTTTTCCCATCCCAGATCCCCAGCCTGCTCCATGTTAGGAAGGGTCACCCACAGAGGCCAAGTTAAAAAATGCCCACTTTAGCCAGGCAGAGTGGCATATGCCTCTGATCCCAGTACTCAGGACTCAGAAGTAGGTGGATCTTTGTGAGTTGGAGGCCAGCCTGGTCTACATACTGAGTTCCAGACCTGCCAGGGCTATGTGGGGCAACCCTGTCTGGTGGGAGGGGCTATTTGTTTGGGGTTTTTTGAAGGGGAGGGTGCTGGGGATGGAAGCCAGGGCTTAAAGTATGCTAGGCCAGCACCCTACCACTGAGTCATCCCCCAGCCCCTGAAATGACACCTTTACCAGGGAAAGCACTCACTGTGAAGGTGACTTTTCAGTACAGACCTGGTCCTCAAGGCAGGGAGTCCTGACAATTGGGGCTCTGATGTAAGCCTGAACCCTCCACCTCCTGTGGCCCCAAAGCTCAGTCCCTCTCCCCCTAGTGCCTGACGGGTTGCAGAGAGAGGAGTGTCCCCAAGGGGCTGGAAGGAGGGAGTCTGGGCCACCTGCCCTGTGCTTTCTCAGACTCTCAGCACTTTCTTTTTCCAGAAATGGAGCAAATGGCTCTCTGGCCCCAGGATGAAGGGCAGGCTGGCTCTTCTGCCTTGGGGCTTCAGAGCCGGTTTCCTTAGGGTCTTTGTCCTGGCCCCTGGCTGGCTGTCTCAGGAGCCATCTTCCAGAAAAGGGCCCCCTTCCCAGGTGCCAGGTCCAGTGGTACTCAGAAGTCCTAGGGTTTGGGGGTTCAACCACCTGTCTGGCTTAGGCATGCCTCTACTGTTTGAGGGGCTAGGGTTTTCAGTTGAGCGAAGAGAACCATAATGTCATCTCTGCCTTCTTCTGCAATGGGGCTGTGGAAACCAGTGCACTCCTTGGAGCACTATTGACAGGGCCCCAGATCAGCTGCTCAAGCAGCCTCTGGGGACACTCTGAGGGGCACAGGTGTCTGGACTTGGGCTGCTCACAGGGAGTGCCCAGGCCTGAACTGAATCCAGAAACAGAACAGGGTAGGAGAAATCTGATTTGGGTATCAGTGGAGTTCTCCTTCACCCCAGTCCTTGATATTAAATGGTAACGATGCTGGTCTAGACCATGGAGACACAGGCACAGACTCAAAGCTCTGGATACAGCCCAGTGTACGGGGTAACAGAATGGCTCACTAAGGTGCTGGAAAAACAGGCTGCCCTTTGGAAACCCCTCACCTTAGACCTGGCCAGCCAGTCAGAGCCTTCACTGAAGAAAGTCCCTGTTGAAAGTGGACCTACAGGAAAGGAGTCCTACAGAAGCCATCGGTGAGAAACTCAACTGACAGTGAAAAATGGCTGGAGTTAGAAAGTGACCTGGTGACCACCACCCAGTGAGTCCATAGGAAGGTAGGAGCAGGCCTCAGATGCAGCCGTTTTCAGAAGGCCCCTCAGGCCTCAACAGGAAAATCTCAGAGAACACAAGGCGGTGACGTGTGCCGGATTATGACGGATAGTGACCAGAGAAAAAGTTTCAGTCTCACTAATAATAAAAGAAAGACAAACAAAATCAAGAGAGATTAGAGATCTTCCACCATGATAGAAGCAGTCGTTGGGCTGGTGACACCAGGGTGATGCATTTGGTCTCACACCTCTCTTGAGGCAATATGTGTCCCCAGAGAGTCACATGGCCCCCACAGACTCATCCCGGGCCACTTCTTGGAATCTACTGGGAGGAAGTCAGGAGAGATGCAGACAGAGTTTTTGAGACATGGAACGTCATTTCCGTTTTATTTTACATGATTTTAAAAAAGTATTATTTAAAAATTTTTCCCCTCTCAGGAATTTTGAATGGAGACTTTGGAGCCAAATGTCTATCTAAAAATAGAACAGGGTTCTGGAAATAACAGTTGTGTCTACAAACGAAACGTCTACAGCTCCCCCCACCTGCAGCTTGGGCTTGCGCACAGCAGCGAGAAATTAGCGATGAGTGTGAGAAGGTGGATGAATCAAAGCTGTCTCTTCCGCCAGGGGAATATTTAGCAGTCATTAAAAAGTGAAGTTTATGGAGAACTTTTAATGCCACAGGGAAGTGTTTTTGATGTAATGTTAAAAGAAAAAAAAAGCACTGCAACTGTGTAAATATGCATATGACACCAAGAAGGTTGGGACAGAAAACCTCAAATAGTGATGGTTGTTATCTCTGCCAGTGGAACTGGGGCAGTGAGGGAGGACCTTTTTCTAGTATGTTCTATGTTCTCAATTGTTTTTTTCAAAGATCGCTAATTACTTTTAGAAAAAAATAACACCCATCCACAGCCCCCACCCCAAAATCACATGGGCCCCTGAAAGAGACAGAACAAGAATTTTAAAAAAAAGTTACAAAGAAGGGAGGGAGCAAACCAGGAGGACTGTGTGTGGTAGAGAGGTAACAGCTCGGGCCGGATCCCCAGGGGCGTTGAATGCAAAGCCTTGTACTTTGAATTCCCCTCTGTCTTCTGTCTGGTTTCAAAGGGTCTAAAGTAAGGGGCTCTGGCAGTGGGGTACAGATGGGAAGCCAGGGGGGCTTCAGAAGTGCCTGACACCAAATCCTGCCTTGATTCCTCAGGAAAGAGTTTCACACTCACCATCACCGTGTTCACCAACCCCACCCAAGTGGCCACCTACCACCGAGCCATCAAGGTCACTGTAGACGGACCCCGGGAGCCCCGACGTAAGTGCCATTGAGCCCTGGCTAGGGCAGAGGGTCCAGGTGGGGTTGGGAGGTGGGAGAAGGGCAGCAGTGAGACCAGACCTGTGGCTTTGGGTCCTCTAAGCATTCACAAGGTCTCAGTCCTAAACCCTCTGGGCGCAGCCACAGACTATGAGGGGTCAACCAAGAGGCCAGGAAAGGGCAGCACAGCCAGCTGGGTGAGCCCCTCTAGGACTACCTGGGAAGGGGACAAAGAAAGGAAGATGCTTTCAACACAATGGGTGAGGCATCTGGGATGGAGCTTAGGTCTGTTGGCTCTGCAAGCCAGCTTCCTCTGCAGTGGCTAAAGGATGGGAAGAGGCGGCCATTCAGATAAGAGCTGGTTCCCTGTGTCATGATCTTGCAACCCCACCCCCCAGACCTTAGAAACCTTGGATCTTAGCATGTGACTTGCTCAAGTCACAGAAAGTGGGCACACTAGCTCCAGGAGCCCTACAGATGAAATTGGAATGTCAACCAAGTCTGCAGTGTGTACTGAGCAGCGACTGTTGCTGAGTCCCAGTCTATCAATGGGCGTGCCTCTTGTGCCTCTGGAGCTTATACATTAGGAAGGTTGGGGAAGCACAGACTGGGCGAAGAGTGAGGTGACCCAACAGGCTCCAGCTGCAAAGCCCAGGGAGCTGGCCTCCCCCTCGCATTATAAGAAGGATCCTTTGAGGCTGAGAAAACCTTCCATACTTAACACTGTACTGGCTTGTCATGACAGCTGAATCAAAGGGTCACTATGCTCCAGAGAGGCGATGGCACGAGCCTGGTGACTGGGTGCTCATGGGGACCTTGCCTTGTGCCAGTGGTGGTATGCTCCTGCCTTAGACTTCTGTTCAGGCTTGCAGGGCAGGAGGGCAGTGCCCAAATGAAGACTCGGAAGAGCAATGTGGCTGTACCCACATTGGCGAGGGACACCAAGGCCCTGGAGTCAGACCTGGCTCCCCATCCAGCCACTGCAGTAGGTGGCACTTCAGATGGGCCCAGAGCTGGACCAGTGGCCCTGGGGATGTCCTCTCTATTGCTCCAGAGTTACCTCTTCCCATGCCCTGAGCTCCTACATGTCGCTGCTGTCATCAGCTCCCAGCCAGCACAGGTGTGGACAGGTTTGTGCCCATGGCCTTAGGTCTTATAACCCCTGGGCTATTCATGTCTCCTATCTGGCCTCAGTTTTGTCATCTGTGAACTGGATCGGCTAGCACAGAAATCTTGAAGTGGTGGATATGAACCTCCCTCTCCCCTCTCCCCCTATGTCCAGAGAGCAGATTTTATGGCTGTAGGACTTGGGTGAGTCACTTCCATGCCTCATTTTTCTTGACTGAAAAATGGATTCATACAAGCAGTTATCTGGGGGTGCTGTTGTGCAGAGGCAATGGGTTCATCTGTGTGAGCACTTGGGTGCAGGTACACAGTCGCCTCAACCAGGAATGCTGTGCACTGTGTATCTCCTCCATGAAGGGGCCGGATGCGTTCTCCTGCCTGTAGCTCAGGGACAAATGGCTTTGATGGGTGGAAAGGCCTCTTAACCCCTAGGTCTCTGCTGTTCTATTCTCTCTGGTCCTCACATCTCCCCCTGCCACCCTCATCAGTGGGTGTTAAGCTTCCCCCAGGAGCAGCAGGATGCCTGCAGGAAATTTCGTTGAAGGGGTCACAGGGCTGTTCCTTGTCCCACAGTGGGCTCAGTGTAAGGATACAGTGTTTAGAGGTGCTCCAGGGGCACATGCACAGTGGGGCTGGGGACTGGATAGAAGGCCCCAAGGGACCAGGCAATGCTTGGAGGTGCCTAGAGCCCTGTGTTCACCTGCCACCTGGTGCTTCTTGAAACTCCTCAATGGGCATAGTGGCTCAGGCTGCCCAGGGGAGGCCCCATTGAGTCCTTTGCCTGATTTCTCCTGGATTTCCCCACCACACCATAGATGGCCCTTTCTGGGATGAGCTGGCAGGGATGGAGGCAGAACAGGAAGAGGCAGCTAGGATATAAGCTGGGACTGCTGTGTGACATAAGGCACATAGTAATCCTCTCTGAGCTCTGGCAGGGCCAGATTGGCAGTTTTGTTCAATGACATCTTAGCAGAAGCTCATTTTTGGAACACAGCAGAGGGGAGAGGGAGCCATTCTTTAGGGGCCCCCATCCTTGAGGCCAGCTTGCTTCAGCCTGTGCCTACCTTGCCCAAGATCTGGTTTCCAGTACCCTAGGCTCTAGCCCCAACATGCCAATCAGTCTGGGGCATTAGACAAATCCTTCCTCATTGCTGTTTCCCCATGTAGGAGAGAAGAGGCCAGCCCCCCACCCCCAGCCCCCACAGCCAATGGTCCCTGAGTGGTCTTGTGTGTGCAGCCCTGTACCCTCTGTCCATGAACTGACCCCTCAGTTCCTCCCAACCCAGAGAGGTAAGGCCATTTCCTGAAGCAACCTTCTAAGCTGTCCCAGCTTCCCACTGGGGCACAGGCAGGTGGATGTGGGATGTTTGTGGACTCATGAGGTCCCTGACTTTCCTGCATTAGCCCACAGGAAATGCTACAGCCCTGGGACCTCACCAGCCCCCATCTCACAAACTTCTGCTCTTCCCTGCTCTGCTCCCTGATCAGAGGAGGCCAGAGCCTCTGGCCAGGGAGGACTAACTGGTCCAGAGTCCGAAGCGAAGCAGGAGCCTACATCCCTGAGACCTGGCTGTGGCTTCTGTGGCCAGGTCATTTCCCTCTGGTGCCCTGCGGAGCGTGCCCAACCTGCAGCCGGGTGGCCAGCTGGGGCTGAGGCTGGCTCCGTGACTTCCTGCCTGTGTGGCCTTGGTTTCTGAGGTTCTCACTGCTGATGTCCCTCCCAGTCACTGGGGACTGGTTCAAACGCAGGCTGCTGAGCTGGATCCAGGACTGGGGTAGGAGGCAGTGCAGGGCCTGGCCATGTTGGTGGTGACTGCAGTTTGAGAACAGCTAACTCCATCTACCAGGCTCAGCAGGTGCTGGTACTAAGAGGGTGGGACCCAACTTCCTGGCCCTTCAGGAGACAGAGGGTGTGGCTGGCAGCTTCTTCCCTAAATGCACACACAGTATTTTCCCAGCCACCTGCCATACCTCAGACACTGTTCCATGTGTTAGAGACACCACCCTGAACCCAACCCGCTGGGTTCCCACCCTCCTGGGTCTCCAATTCCAGAAGAGAAAAAGGGAAATAAGCTTTACAGTGACCACAGCCTTGAAGGCCTGGCTGAATCTGGACAGTGACTCTCCTTTCTGTACTGCACCTTATTCCCCATTCACCCCACTCCTGATGCTGGCTTCTTGCCAGGCACACTCCTGCCCCAGGGCCTTTGCACGGCCGTTCCCCTACCAGAGATATGCCTCCACACTAGACTCCATGTTCTACCACACCAGGGATTCTTTTATTTTGTCAGACACTTGTTCCCTGCCCTGAAGATGCCAACTTAGTACTCCATAAATAGCTCAGGAATAAGTTAAGTAAATAAGTAATCTGTTCATTTCAGCAAAGCTGGGAGGAGACTGGAACAGGCAGAGGGCAGGCAGTTGAGTGGGGTAGTGAGGCTTCCTGATGAGTTTCAGGCCTGAAGGAGATAAGCCAACAGCAGTGTGGCCTCTGAGGACCTAGTATGGGCAGAAAGAGTGACCTTGGTGTGAGGAGGCTGAAGAAGGGTGCCCAGGTTCGGTACCCTAGAGCCCCATTGCCTGGAAGCACCCCAAGTTAGGGAAGTCCTAGTAGAGAGCCCACTCAGAGGAAAGGAAGGAGTTAACCTCAGACCTCCCTGACTCCCCTAATCAGGCCCAGGCCTAGAAGCCCCAGTTGCAGCCCTTGAGTCTGCTGCCTCCCTGCAGCTGGCCTCCTGCCAGCCAGCTTCCTTGCCCAGCCACCACAGGTTTTCATCTGCTCACAGGGGGCCAATTCACGGCAGACCACCCCAGGCTGACACCGGCCTGCCATCCAAGTGCTATTCCAATCTGGTGTAAATCTCCTGACAGGCCCCAGAGCAAGCAGCGGGCATACAGTGGCCACTGTGTATGGGTCACAGAGCAGCATGCTGGCAGAAAGGCTGCTGAGACGTTTCAGACCTGCCCAGGGCTGGTAGCTGGGGCTCCCCTTGTTCCCAGGGCCCTGCCTGGCTGTACTTCTCCCCAATCCTGCCTCCTCCTGCCCAGTTAAGGCCAGACATGGAAGCTGGCCTCTTGCCAGCCAGAGCCCAGCTCTTCCCTTTTGGAGAAGCTCTGTGAGCTTGTCAGCCCATTCCTGGCTGAATCTTACCTGTGACCTTGGCTTTGTGACTTCCCTTCCCATCTGTGAAATTGATGGGGGGGGGGGCAATGGGAGAGAGGGTTGTGATACTTGTTCTGTGTGTGGCTATTTGGCCTGCTTGTCAGCCCTGGTGGGAGGCTGGGGCTAGCCCTGGTAAGTGCTTGACTCCCCTACAGTGCCAGGCACCTGACAGGTGGTGGGACCTGTGCAGCAAGCCTGGCTGCTGATGGTAAGGGAGACTCAACTGGCTGTGTAATGTGGCCCTGGGGAGGGGAGTCACACAGCCCAAAGACATTGACCTTTGCCACATGCCTATGAGGTCCCCTATGGCTTAGCTATGTTGGATGGGAGCAGTTGACCCAAGAGTGGGAGGCAGATCAGAGAAGGTGCTGACACCTCCCCTGAAGGCCAGAGCCTTCGAGTTGCATACTTCAAAAAACGTGCCTTCACCCTTGGAGTAGGGAGCAAGGGGGCTCTGAGCTTTCAGTCCCCACTCTACAGAAGAGACAGTGAATGTCTGAAGGGGTTCAGTAACTTTTCCAAGACCACCTCTGGGTAATAGCTTCCTGTAATAGGCCCTGGGATGGGTAGGCTGAGATCTGTTTTATCACAAGTGGAGTCCTGGGCACTCATCAAGGTTGTTGGGGGCAGTGATCAGAACCCCCTGCTGGCCAGGCAAGGCCCCCACAGGCCATGAGGCCCTTCCCCAGGCATCATCTTCTTCTTCCCACTGAGGACTCTACTTTGACAAACTCATAACCAGCCCATCTACCCCTGGGGCATCACACAGGATGATAACCATTTTACAGATGCGGAGACTAAGGCCCAGAGAAGAGGGACTGGGGCTGCAGTAGTGTAACTCAATCTTGAGCTTCAGAATAAGGCAGGGCCCTGCTGGGGTCCACTGAAATCCTGTTGTCTTCCTCTGCCCAGGCTCCTCCCCATAGATCTGTAGAGTGCCCTGGGGTGGGCCCTAACACCATGTCACACCCTGAGTTTCACAGCTAGGGCCCTTCCTGAGATCAGCTCTGGGGACAGCTGCCTCCTATGAGCTGTCAGCCCAGCAGGGACAATCCCCAGACTCAATGTGTCCCACCTGTAGAGCAGGAATATGTCCTCATGGGGAGACTGCAAGGGAAGCAGGAGTGTGAGGGTTGTGTGCCTCGAGACACTGCTGTGGAAAAAGCGCCCTGCCTTACTGGCAGATGCTGAGCAGGACAGAGGGTACTAGGGAGCTGGACCAGCAGCAGCAAGAGGCCAAGGCTATCCAGAAGCTGGGGACTGGAGGCCAGCCCCACCAGCAGTGACTTCTGGAAATCTTAAATCAGTAATCCCCCAGGGAAGAGACTTCAGTGAGTCTCTTCTATCCTCATGGAGCACAGAAGGGCAAGGCCCCAGTGGCCAAGGGAACCAGACAGCCCCACGCTCTCAGGGTGGGAACAGAGATGAAAGACTCTTTTTCCTGTGGTCCATCTCTCTCCTCGGGTGCACGCACGCGCTTCCCTTCTGTTCTGCTCCCTGTGTGAGGGCCCCAGCCCTATGGCTCTGAGACTCTCTGGCGCCCTGGCCACGTGGGGTCAATGAGCTCTCCTCTGCCCCTCCTGGGCCATGTACAAGTCCTCTCCTCAGGGAGCCTGCCCTCCACCATGGAGAAGCACCAGCCGGCCACTCTGTCCCAGCTTGGTATAGCTTCAGGGCTGAGCAGTCTTCCCAGTCACCATCCTAATCTTGTCCTCTGTCTCATCCACGTCCCCCTGGGCACAAGCAGGGTACGAGTGACCCATGTGAGTGGTATGATAGGGATGTTACAGCCCAAGGTTGGGAGGAGTGTGATTAGTGAGGCCAAGGCTACACCCATCAGGCCCATCCTCAAACCCAGGCTGGCCCCGAGCCCCGCCCTGCTTCCGCTGGCCACAGGAACAGCTGTGAACACACAGTACACTGTATGACTCAGAACCAGGGGACGACACTGACAGGTCTAAGGTTTTACACCGGTGTTCATATAACCCCATTAGCTGCCTTAGAACTTGTGGTTCACTAAGACACCCAGATCCTCATACCCAAGCTGTGCCAGGTCAGTCTGTAGTCTCCCTTCAATCCGGCAGACTTCCTGCCTGTTGAGATTGCTGGGAATTCATGATCTCCAGCTCATCCACGCACCCCTGCCATCTCCAGGAACTTCGGGGCTGAGCCAGGAGCCCTGCCACAGCAGCTACCCCATCAGGACATGAAGAGATCAGCCAAGCATCCTCCATGAGGCACACACTGCCTGCCTCACCCGAGACTTGTCTGGCCACTGCATCTCGGAGTCTGCAGTGCTGGTCTCAGTCAAACTCGCCGCCAGATATGTTTTCTCCTGTTTCCTAGAGGCGTGTGGTGGTCACGGCTGCTGCCAGGCATCCCATTAGTCTCAACTGGCACCTCATGGGAGGACAACAGACTTCCCTGGCTATCAGTGCCTTGAAGAACTGAGTCTCAGGACCCCTGCTCCATTTCTGAGGCTCTTGAATATCCACTTGAACCTGTGCTAAACATGTATGAGGATTTGGGGGATCCATGGGTACCAGACTCTTTATGTCCCGATTTTGAAAGTCAGAAATCAGTCCTTCCAAGGTTCCCACTGGTCCCTCATCCCAACAGTGGTTAGCGGTCATCTCATGCTTTCCAGCTCTGGAATCACTTGTCCAGCCTCAGGCAGAACAGTGAAAAAATGACCTACCTTCTCTCTGTCAATCTGGAAAATGCCACATCACTCCAGACCCAAAGACTGAGGCAAACTTCTTCCCATGAGCTTGCTTCTTACACTTTCCTAAAGGGAGTCAGGTTTAGGAAACCTGGCCATCTTAGCTTGCTGTGTGTCCTCAGGCAAGCCTCCACGCTTCTCTGATCCATAGTCCTCCTTTGTACAGAGGCAATATGGGAGGCCAGAGATTGGATATTAGGCAGAGACACCAGACAGGAGGTGTGAGCCTGCAAGGGGCCAAAAGGAAACATTTGGAAACATGGTCCACCAGGAGAGGAATGAGAGGCGACTGCACATGCAGGGGACATGACAAGCAAGACCAAGGGACATGCAGTGGTATAGCTGTCCTTGTCACACTAGGTGAGCCCAAGAGGTCACGGGGAGGACCAGGAACCCTCCCATTTCAGAATTCACCATCCCTACTTCACAGATGAGGAAACTGAGCTCCCAAGAGGGTCACTCTAAAACAAAGTGGCAGAAGAGCACACCCAGGCCAAGGCCACTCTAGGAAGTTCCAGGAGTTTTCCCGTGTGTTCTCCAGATAACAGAACCAAAAAAGAGTCTGGGAATTGAAACTGGCCAGCTGGTCAGGATGCCCTGCTGACAAGGGGCTTTGGTGGCCAGAACTCACCTGATACTTTGACTTGGAAACTTGGCCTGTTGCTTGAGAAATAGAGGGCGAGTGATTGAGGATCGTGAGTGACACTTGGTATCACTCCAGAGGTGTCCCTTGGCCCTTAGCAGGCTGTGGAGGACAGGTTGCACAGCCACCCTGTGTGAGCCGTGTGGAGGGTGGTAGGGAGGGCTGGTATTGTCCTATATGACCTCTCTGCCAGATGCACTGGTACTCTGGCTCTGCTCCTGGGCAGGGAATGGAAGCCAGTATATCCTCAATGACTAAACCTCTGCCCTGAATCCTCTCTGAGGTCCAGAGGGAAGATGGCATGTGCGGGGGCCAGGCTGGCCAGAACCAGACAACCAGCTCTCCTTTCTGAGGCTTGTGCCCTCAGGGGTGGGTGAAGTGTAGGGACCTTCATGCTGGGTATAGAGGGTGGCAGCACCCTTGGGAGCTCTCCCCATCTCCTGTCTCCTGAACCACTCTTTTAGGCCTGTTGCCTCAGTTTCCCCTTCTGTCAAACCACGTTAGGAGGTTTAGGTAGTTCAGATTCTGAGGTCACAGTGTGCCCCCAGCAGAGCCCCAGGTATGATATAAGCATGGTTGTTCCTACTCAAATGCCCTGGAGAGAGGCCACCTGAGGTGGCACATAGACAATCTGAGAACTCCACAGAGGCCTAAAGTAGACATTAGTAAGAACTTCCCAGCAGGGCAAGGCATGGCAGTGACTGATGGGCTCCGTGTGCTCCACAGGGCACCGGCAAAAGCCAGAAGACCAGACCAAGTTTCCCGACCGCTTTGGAGACCTGCGCATGCGGGTGACACCAAGCACACCCAGCCCCCGAGCCTCAATCAGCACCACGAGCCACTTCAGCAGTCAGGCCCAGACTCCAATCCAAGGTATGGAAGCCTGTGGGAAGCAAGCAAGCAGGGGGTTGGGCGAGTCACCACCCACCCCAGGCCAAGTCCCTGGGGAAGATGGCCCTCCTGCTATTTGCTGCCTCTGGGGCAGCTGATAGAAACTGCAGTCTGCACTACTGTGCCAACTCTCTACAGGGCCTCCACTTTCTCATTCATTCGCTTGCTCAGTAGCTGTTCACTGACTCACATTGTGCCTGACTCCAGGAATCAGCACCAGCAGATGCGGTCATCCCTCCCCCAGAGCTCGCTGTTCCCTGGGGACATGAGGTTAAATCCTGCGGTGCCCACAGAACCACAGCCACCATGTCCCCACTGTGCACACACCCTTCTAGCCTCAGCCTTGTCTTGGTGAAGAGGGGTGAGTGGAGAGAACTCTTCCCAGGGCTGGGTGCTATTCACACCAGAAACTGTGAAGTTGGGTGCCGGCACTGCTTGGACTAGGTCTCCACCCAGAGACAGCTCCTGAATAGACAGCACTGGGGGTAGGGGCGGGCTCCACTGTGTGGTCCAGGCAACGGGCCCATAGGCAGGTCTCCCTGAGGCCCAGGACAGGTGTGTAGCCAGCCCACAGGAGCCCTTGTGAAGCTGGCTCAAGCCAGACAGGTGCAGATGCCAAGCCATAGAGATCAGAGGGCTAGCTGCCACCCTACATAGTGTCCATCCCCTCAGCTCACCCGTGTTGGCTTGGGTCCCACGTGGCAGATGAGTGAATTGAGGCTGCAGAGGGTTGAGGCCACTCGTAGGCCACACAGCCCTCCAATGGTCAGATACAAGGTCTCCCCATGGAGGACCAGAGTGGGTGGCAGGCTGGTACCCCTCTACCTCACCTTCTGCTCTCCTCCACGCTGGTCTCTGTGCAGGGAAACCTTGCCAGGTATATTACTGTGTGCTCTGGGCATGATGCACTGGCATGGCACCCTCCCACGGTGTGACAGGAAGCTGGCCCAAGGTGGGTATAGGCCCTAACCTTGGCCTGCCCGAGCCCACAGGCTTACAAATTTTAGACTCAGCTCATAAGTCCTGGGCCCTGCAGGTTTGTCTGTAGCCTCTAGACATGCCCTTCATCTGACTCATGCCCGCCCCTGCCCGGGAGCTTGTCCATTTCCCTGTCACCACAGGCTTGTGCCTGTGTAGCCTGGCTTAAAAAGGATGAGGTCTAGCCAGGAATACCCCAGCATCTAACAGGTTTCAACAGTGCCTCCTGTCTACCAGTCCCCATGAAAGAAAAGCCCACACCTGCCCTCCAGCAGTGAGGGGGTATAGTCTTGGGAATCTCTGCCCCCAGGATTCAGAAGCAGGCCTGCCCAGTCTCTCCTCAGATGTGGGCCTGATCTGGCCCGTGTGGGTGTGGCTGGCCAGTTCTCTTACCACATCCTGAGATGGGACCCCAGTCCCTTGTTATCCATTGGGCCCAGGTACCCCTGAACTGCCCTTCTGGGGTCCAGGAGAGGGTCCCAGATAACCACAGCAGAAAAAGGGCATACACTTGACATCAGGTCAGCCTGGCCAGCTCTGGCTTATCTTGCACTGACTGTGATCTTAGGCAACCCACCTAACTTCTGTGAGCTTGTTTTCTCATCTGTAAAGTGAGAAGAGGCTCCTGTCATAGGCTTTGGCAGGCTCAGGTGTGAAGAATCAAGCTCACTGGTCCTCCCTAAGATCCCCTCAGGACACCCCACACACTTCCCTTGGTGCCTGCTAATAGCTTTGACCCCTGGCTTTGGTCACCACAAGCAATGCCAAGGCCCCGGCCCAGCCCCAGGCTGCAGCCGCCCACAATAGGGGCTTCTCACCACTCAAAGGACCCATTCAGCTTCCACACAGCATCTGGGGTAATTTGGAGAAGAAAATAAACATTTCCTTGCGCTATTGGCTTGGCTGTTCAACAGTGGCCCACTGCTCACGTTTCCTGGGGCTGTGAGGGTGGGGGTGGGCACAGGAGTGTGAGGAAGCTACTGGGTCTGAGGTATTTCCCTCCACCCTGAAGGAGAGGCAGGAGCCCTCTCCCTGGGGCTCCTGCATGTTGGTAGACATTAGGCACCTCTGCCACCCAGACTTAAAGGCAGACTGACCAGCCAGGGAGATTCCAAATGCTCCAGAAGGTTCAGCTGCCTGACCCTTGCTCCTTCTCCCCACCTTGAGCCAGGGGAAGGCCTCCTTAGTGATCCACAGCCAGGACCAGAGATGCTACTGTGAGAAGTATACCGTAGAGACCTGAGGTTTGACAGGCCACCTGAGGTCACCTAGCACCTCAGGCAGAGGCCAGAAAGCAGGAGGCCTGAGCCCTGCATCCCCAGACGTGCCTTGGTCATGGCCAGCGAGCCCATCCAGAGTGGGCACCAGCCCTGCTGACCTGAGGATAGAGCCCAGTCTCCTGACTCTTCCTCTATGATGTGAGGGACAGAAGGGCTGAGGCCTGACAGGAAACTAGTCTCTGCCCACTGCTACCCAGGTATAAAGAGGACCCCAGGTCACAGCTTCATCTCATCAGGGTCCCCAATCAGCCACTTCTCCTGGGTGCCCAGAACAAAAGCTGTGACAGCAGCTGCAGCACTTTAAGTGTGTCAGCAAACTTTATTCAGGGCCCTGATGCACAGAGAGGTTAAGTGATTTGTCAAAAGACACAGGGAATGAGAGTCAAAACCCATGTGGTTGAACAGCCAAGGCCACACACAGCAAGCCCTGGCTGCTAAGAGACCATCTCTGTTCAGACTGGATTGGGGCTCAGGATAGTGTTCCCTGTGATGCTTTGTGCCTCTCCCCCTTTGGGTCTCAGTTTTCCCACAAGGCGGTTAGGTTTCATCCCAAAATCCATTTGAATGCTGAGGTTTGGGGTCTGAAATTACAAAAGTAGGGAGACAGGCTGACACATTCTCATAGTAGAGGCAAGACTCCTGGTGTTACCCTGTGAAATCTGCCTGCACACTGACCAGACTAGAGTCGGGACCCCCAAGTGCTCCAAGCTGGTGTTTCATTTTGCAGTAGAGGTAGGTGAGGGTGTCATATGGTCGTTGTGTGACCATCAAGATGCTCTAGCCTGCAGGGTAGCCATGGGGACGTGGCCCGGGAAGGGAAACAGGCAGAACGTCTGTGAACCCAAAACCCACAGTCCGGACCCCAACCAGTCTGCCCCTGAGCTCACATTCACATTACACAGCACACACTCTGGCCCCAGAGAAAAGAGGTGTTATGGCGTGTTCTGGTTCGTTCTTTGCCTGCCTCCATTTCTTCCTCTTCAGAGGCAGGATCTGGCTTCCAGCCTCACAGGGCCCCAGAGACCTTTTCACACCGTTGGTCTTACCAATTGTTGAGGGTGCGCCGTGTCCAGGGCCTGTCCATGCAGGCTGGGAAGGAGACAAGTGTTGTGGTACAGGGCTCCACTCCCAGCTTGGTCTGCGGTGGGAATCCTAAGGGCTTCCTAGGAGGGACAGCCCAGCCCTGGGAGAGAGTCCAGAGTGATCAGGCCTGCACAACTGACCCTCCTCTTGCCCTCCCCAGGCTCCTCGGACCTGAACCCCTTCTCTGACCCCCGGCAGTTTGACCGTTCCTTCCCAGGGCTGGAGAGCCGCTTCCCAGACCCCAGGATGCATTACCCAGGTGCCATGTCTGCCGCCTTCCCTTACAGTGCCACGCCATCCGGCACCAGCCTGGGCAGCCTAAGCGTGGCAAGCATGCCGGCCAGCAGCCGCTTCCATCACACCTACCTCCCTCCACCCTACCCCGGAGCCCCGCAGAGCCAGAGCGGGCCCTTCCAGGCCAACCCTGCGCCCTACCACCTCTTCTATGGCGCCTCCTCTGGCTCCTACCAGTTTTCCATGGCAGCAGCGGGTGGTGAGCGCTCGCCCACACGCATGCTGGCCTCCTGCCCTAGCGGTGCCTCGGTGGCTACCGGCAACCTCATGAACCCCAGCCTGGGCCAGGCCGATGGTGTGGAAGCTGACGGCAGCCACAGCAACTCGCCCACAGCCCTGAGCACGCCAGGCCGCATGGACGAAGCCGTATGGCGGCCCTACTGAATGCCCTGGGGACTTCCTGCCACCTGCAAGACCCAGCCATCCAGTCCCACACTCTGGGCAAGAATGAACTTTGGCCTGGTCCTAGGGGCCAGAGTCGCTGATGGCTCCAAGAGCTCTGTCCAGCCACACCATTGTATAGAGGGGTGGGAACCTCCCCAGCCCAGACCCTGGTCCTCTCTCCTCAAGCGCCTGCCACCTCCAACATCCACCTCTGTTGTCTCCAGCCATGCCCAGCTCTGTCTCCTGGGTCAGAGGCTACCCTGCTCAGAAGGGAGGAGGCCTTGGCAGGCAGGATAAGCTCAGAACCCTGGACTTCCTGTCACACTGGCACCCTGGCCAGCCCTCCCCCTGTGTTCATACCCATGGAGTCAACTGGAAACCCCCACCCCCTGAGTTGGCTTCCCTTCACTGAACAGGCAGGCCCTCAGACACACCCACATGCCAGTCCCCGATTTGACTTTCCCACAGTTCCAGCCAAGAAGCCCCTAGCCTGTCCTAGCTGGTGACAGCAGGCGGCAAAGCAGACTCCTCCCAAGTTGGCAGGTCCTAAAGCAGAAAGAAAAGCCCCACACCTCCAAGTATATTCCAGCCTGAGAGGTCAGGATGCTGGCCCTGTAATCTGTCTCAGAGAACTCAGGGGCAGATAGATCCTAGCACAAAGTCTGGAGGTGGAGAGTGATGGGGTGGCCCATGAGGTCCAGCCAAGCTGGGAGAGAGCCCTAGCCTCTAAAACCCACAGCTTTCTCTGACCTGTTTGCAGCTGGAAGCAAACAGCCTTGAACCAAAACCAGTTTTAAAAACTGATTTTAGAAAAAGCAGCTTCATCGAACATTTTAAAACAAAGTCTCTGACAGGTAGAAACCCTGCGGTTGTGAAAGCACCGCCTCCCCCACCTGCTGCCTCTGCTAGTGTTACATCATCAGGACCTGCCACCTCCAGACTGGCACATTCCTCACACAAGGGACCAAGTGAGGTGCCTGGAACTCAGCGTGCACATGTAGATGTTTCCTGGGAGGCCGAGTGAGACTCTAGTGGGGTGTGTGATACCAGAGCCGCGTCTGTGCAGAGGTCAGATGTCACCCAGCGGGTGGGAGAGTGGGCCTTGCCCAAGGACTAGAGTCCTGAGATCTTCTGCTCTGGGAGATCTTCCATGGAAATAGATGAGGACACTCTTGCAGGGCTGGCCCACGTGTGGTTTCTTCACACTGAATGAGCCACATCCTCTGTGGCCGTGGAACTCTTGCCTACAATACTTCTTAGTGATGGCCTCTGTCACAGCACTTGGCCTGCCCCATGGCCCTCACCTATAGCAGTCACATACATACTCTGGCAGGTCAGGAAATCCTGGTGATTCTGTGCACTTACCTTCCACTGTAATTTTTTTGTCCCACCCTCATTGGAAAAAAAAAAATTTCCATCTCTTGGAAGTAGCTGAGGGTAACCTGCCAGGTCCCTCACCCCTTCTCAGGAAGCAGTTGTAACCCATTGCCCCTACCTGCTTTTCTTCCATTCTGTGATACAGACTGGCTCAAGTCAGAAAGGGAGGTACCTTCAGGTTCCCAGTGCCCCACACTGTGTAGGCCACCCCAGTTGACTGACTACCCTTCTCAATACCCAAGCCCTGGTGGGGATAGGAAATTGTACCCCATCATCACCCCTCCATCCCATCCCTGGTAAAAGTGATGGCTGAGTTTCTATTAGGCCCCTGGTAAGTACAAGACAGCCCTGGACTGGTCTTTAAAAAAAAATTGGGGGTGGTGTGTCCTGTTTTCAAGGCTGCTTTAAAGTGCTACCTGAGAGAGCGCTGTTTAGAAAGGAAGCTAATGGGCTTGGATACAATGTTACTGTAAGGATGTGGGTGGTGGGTACTGATCCTTGGTGACATATTGTCATATGGCATCCTTACCTGCTGTGCACAGATCTTCCTGAGGCTGTCCGAGCTGGTGGGGAGGGGAGGAACTGCTTTGCACTATCGTCCGCCTGGTGTGTTTGTTTTTCATGCACAACTTGCTTGTACAGTAAACTGCCCATCTTGGGTACTATTTAACTGTAAAATGAAAATTGTATTTGTTACAATAATATAACATGTGTTGAAGGATCCTGTGTCCTGTCTCCTAGGGCTGTGTGTATGGAGGATGGGTGGGACCTCTGCTCTTACCTAGGAGGGAAGGAACTTGGGCAGAGCCAAGCTGGTGTGTAGGAGACAGTGCTAGGAAGTTCTCCAGCCAGCTCTGTTGGGTGGCCACAGAGACTCTAGTTTGAGGACAGCTGGCGGGCCACTCTCTTGGTTGGGCTGGGACCTCAGACTATCAGATAGATTTTCAAGGTGGCACTAACCCTCCCTCCCTAAGGTGGCCATGTCTGTCACACAGAAGTAGAAAGCATTGCACTGGCCCATCTTGTCCCCTAGATACAGATTTGGGGAGGGGCAGTGACTAAAGGACAGTCAGATACTACACCATGATGAGAGACCCCTCTGGAGCTAGGGCACCCTCTGGGGTGAGTGTCCCATGTAGGTGGGATCCCGCAGGGTGGGGACCCTTCTGGGTTGAGGACCCCCAAGCTCCTATGGAGTAGAAGGCCTTCTGGGGTAGAGGCCCCTCTTGCAGTCTGCTTGCTGGGACGCTCTTGAGGTGGCAGCTGAGAAGTCAGGACTGCAAAGCAGCCACCTGCTTCAAGGTGCCCCTATTTGGAGATGAGGTGACTAAGTCACACAGAGGGGTGTTCCACAGCTCCCTGTAGCTGGTGGATGCCGAGCTGAGACCACCACCCAAAGATGGTGTGGGAACCTGACCTGACAGCTTCACCAGTAGGGAGACCTGGCCACACCAGAGCCCCACCCCCAGCCTGTGCCTGACCATGTGGGACATGTGGACATGAATTTCCATAAGACAGAACTTACATTGGCAATGTCCATTTCAAAACCCAATCCTAAGGTTTTGCCCTGCCTAGAACCAAACACCAAACCGGAAGTTCCTAGTTTCCCGGTCTAGACCTTGAAGCCCCTCCACATCCAGGATCACCTCTGCCTCACAGGGTCCTGGTCACCACTGCAGGACCCATCTTCAGGTACACCCTGGGTGGCAAACCCACATGGCAGGACCTCTCCCCAGGGTGAGATATGACCTGAAGCAGTGTCTACGCGGCCAACACTCTTCAATTTGGCTTATTTGGGATGACTTTGTAGGGGGCCCACAACTGAAGAGGTGACTCCATCACCTGCACTCCACTCGCCAAGAGGAAACCAGGGCCAGAGCTAGCCTGAAGCTGGCCTGGGGGATGGAGCGCTGCAGTTACCCCAGTGGCCTGCAGGTGGCGGCAGAAGCGGCTTCCAGGCAGCAGGTGGAGAGAGCTGCCCTGCTTTAGAGAGGAGTGTGGGCTGCCTAGGTGTTAGAAAGAGCTGCCCGGTCTCAGAAAAGCCGCTTGGCAGGGTCAAGGTTTCCTCACACAGGTATTAGCTTGCCACCCTGCCCCTCAGAGCCACCCTCCTAGTCAGATGTCAGCAGAATGGCAGGCCCCTGAGCTAAAGACCCCACATGGAGACAGGGAGGACTAGAGGGGAAGACTGACTTCAGGGTAGACCACCTCAGAAACCTGGGCCAGGCCCATGCACCCCATGCCTCCAGAAATGAAGGGCCTGAACCTGCTGGCCCAGGTAGGGAGGCCAGTCTGCTGCCAGTCTAGGAGCCCTGAGGTCCCAGTGTCCCTTCTGAGAGCCAAGAAGACCTCTGGCTTGCATGGTGTGTGGCAGGCTCAGTGGCAGCCTGAGAGGTGGCCTCTTAGATAGTGGCCACTGCCTAGTACCTCCTAAGGTGGAAAATGGTCCCCCAGACAGGACCCAGTACTGTAACACTAAGCTCTGGCCCTGGGATGGCCTCCACTCTTGTCCTGAAAAAATAGATGTCCTGTCCAGGTTTACAGGCCTGAGATGGGAACCTAGGCCCAAAGGAAAACAAGTCAGGTCTAGAGGAGCCAATGCTGTGTGAGGACAATGCTGTGTAACATGAGGACAGGACCCAGATCTTCCTCCCTTCTCAACCAGCACCCCTCCCTGCCCCAGGCTGCACCCCTACAAACAGCCAGATCTGTACTATGGCCCAGGGAAGGGCAGCTCTCCACAACACCCCATACACCAGCTTGGAACATGAACACTCAGGCATCTCCATGGTTCCGTTCATCTCAGGATCATAAATGAAATGAGCTGTCAAAGGGCCAAGGGTAGGAACAACCCACTCCAGTGGGAATCCAGATCTCCCTTCACTCCTCCCCATGGGAGGGTAGGTGAGGGGCCTCATCCCCCTACCTGTGTGGTCCTGGCCGGGGAAACCTGGGAAGCCAGATTCCAAGCTTCCTATATTTAGTTTGCAGCTAAGAGTGCATTGTTTGTTTCATATATTTATATCCATCACAGAGAGCCTGGCTGGGTCAGCTGAGGAACTGGAGTACAAAGGGGTAGATGGCACTACCACCTCCCTGCTGCCACCCAATGCTAGAAACACCCTTGGTGCTGTAACGGGTGGCGGCCGTTGGCCACACAATCCTGCTCTATTCTTGGGGACCATACCTTCAAGGCCTTGGCCACATTCAGTCCCTCCCCAAATCCCACTCCAGTAAGTAAGTCACAGCAAAGTGAGTGATCCCAGGGTAGACAGGTGGGACAGAGGCTCAGCTAAGAAACAGATGCATGAGGCTGGAGAGATGGCTCAGTAGTTAAGAGCACTAACTGCCCTTGCAGAGAACAGGGTTTGGTTCCCAGCACCCACATGACGGCTAACAGACTTCCATAATGTCTGTTAACTCCAGTTCCAGGGGATCAGGCGCCCTCTTCTGACCTTTGCAGGCATCGCGTGACACAGGTGCACTTACATACATACAGGCATTACACTCATACAAGAAAAATAAAAATAATAAATGATATTTTTTACAAAAGAAACAGATGCACACATGCACAGAAGCTTGGAGGAGGAGGTACGCCTCCCACTCAGATAAGCTGGAAAGGTGAGTAAGGAGCTACCTCCCCTCCAGGAGCACTGGCGAGTGTGGGGAACACGGAGCAGAGATCTGTTCACAGGCCACTGCAATGGTCTGAGCACAGGAGTATGAAGCTGTGGATGGTGAAACAGGAGGAGCTAGACCGTCTCAGACCCCTTTAGCACTGTCACAGGAAGGACTCCATGATCCAACTTCAGAAGTTTAGGTGTTTCCCGCAAGGGTGAGTGGCATTCAATGGACTAACTGGAATAAGATCTTAAAAGCAAACCAGGTATGGTGATGCATACCTTTTGCATGGAGTCAAACCATGATGCAAAATGTGTAGAATTAAATGCAGGGCATGCAGCACATACCTTTAATCCCAGCACTCAGGAGGCAGAGACTGGAGGATATCTATGAGATTGAGGCCAGCTTGGTCTACATAGTGAGTTCCATACTAGCTGGGACTAGGGAGAACCTATTAAAAAAAAAAAAAAAAAAAAAAAAAAAAAAAAAAAAAAATCTTAAGGGCAGCTATTACTACCCATCGGCTTTTTCAGGATTCCCCCATTCTGTGTCTGTTTCCTCATGACAGGCTTCTGGCCACCACAGTTGGCATCAAGTGCAGCCCCACAGCCTCTGAGGTCTGAGGATGAGAAGGTTATGAGAGCAGGATCCCAGGCATCCATTATCTCTACATTATATTTTAAATGTCTTTTTTTATTTTTTGAGACAAATTCTCATGTAGCCCAGGCTGACCTTGAACTCCTGATCCTCCTGCCTCTGCCTCCTAAATGCTTGGATTACAAGTATGTACCACCATGCCTGGCTAAATAATATTTTTTAAATGACACTAAATAATCATTAATCATAGAAGGAAAAATAGTGCACTACAGAGTCTTAAAAAGGAACACATGAATAATTACTGATATACTGATCATTTCATTCCCCCCAAAGGTAAACAACGTGACTATTTTGAGGTTTTCCCCCTACATGCATAACTTTGTTTTTAATAAATATATTAATACTTTTTAGAAATAAACATTTTTTCAGCCAGGTATGGTGGCCCAGGCCTTTAATCCCAGCATTTGGGAGGCAGAGACAGGCAGACTATGAACTGTCTGTGAGTCCAAGGCCAACCTGGTCTACACAGGGAGCTCCAGGCCAGCTGTGGCAACAGGGAGACCCTGTCTCAAAAAGACAAAAGGAAGGAAGGAAGGAAGGATTTTTATAGCCATTAATACAGTATACAGTTTATCAATGTAGTAATGTAGTTTAAACAATAGATAAAGGTGATTTAGAATGAAATCACTACAAAGATGGCCTCATATTTATTTTCTTTTGTATATTTTTCAGTTTCTTGGGTTTTCTAAATTTGTCAGGGTGTGGTATATTAAACTCTAGAGGCAGGGAAGGGTTGAAATATCACCTCTTCTAGGCAGCCTTCCCTGATACCTCCATGCTGGATTTGATATCTTCTCTTTGCCTTTGGAATAAGAGTAGCAATAATTAGGGCCAGTGAGATGGTTCCAGAGGGTGAAGGCGCTTGCCACCAAGCCTGATGACCTGAGTCCAATCCCCAGCATATACATAATGGAAGGAGAACAGACTCCCAAAAGTTGTCCTCTGACCTCTATATGCACATGGCATGTGCACACACACACATTCAGTAGATAAATGTAATAGAACATAAATATAATAAGTATAACAGCTAGTGCTTAACCAATGCCAGGCACTACTTGAATACATTTGCCATGTTAACTCAGCCCAGTTGTTGAAATTACGTACTATCACAGCCTCTCACTTTACCGATGAGAAAGCTGAGGCCCCCTTTCCCAAAGCAGAACAATAGGAAGAAAAGTTTCAGTTTCCCACACAGTTGATGACATTGGGGGCTCAAAGTCAGAATGAAGTCAGCTTGAGGGAAATGTAACACTCTCCCTTTCCTGCATTTGCGCCCTCATGACATAATCTTGCTATAAAAACCATCATCAGGAGAGAACAGGGAAGCAGAAACAAGACGTCTTTTCTCAAAAGCAGAAGCAG